TTCTTTCTTTCTACAACTCGGTTAGATTGAAAGGAGTAGGGAGCAGTTGTTTGATGTATGATGCCTTTTTCTTTGAAGAAAGCATTGAAAATTCCATCATACTTGCCTTTTTTTTATCACTTCCCATCATTTAAATAGGTTTTCCTAGTTGGTTTTCAACTTCGAGTTTGTACTCTTTCAGTTTGTCCAAGATTTCTTCTTTACTACGCAATAAGTATATGTAGCAGTATCTTGTATTATTGTCTATAAAAGTCACAAAATAATTTTTACCACCTCTAGCTTGGATATACTTTAAATCGTACAAATCAGTGTGGATTAAGCCAGGATGTTCGGTTGTTCGTTCAATATAAATTGATGGTGTTTTATGAGCTATGCTTGAACATAAACTTCTCATTTGTCTTTGCTTATTTTTCATTTAGGACTCAGGTTAAAATTCATCAGTCTTTCTACAGACTTATAATTTATATGTCATAATCTTACATGCCAGATATTAGAAGACTCAACAAATAAGTAATTTTCCTCAGTGATTTCATTCTTTAGAACATGTACATTTTTTCTTGAGGATTTTTATTACACACATTTTAACTAATCCGTCCTTAACATAATCTTTTTTTTTTAACACCATTCTTTCTGAGAATTAGCTGGTCAGACTTGAAGTGGACTGCGAATCCATGCTTGTTGATAAGCGTACATGATGTCAGATTTTTCCTCGTGTCTGGAACATGCTTCATTTTTGGGAGCGTGATCTCCACTTCTGATGTCAATCTTTAGCACCACTTTTACAGCACCTTCAATCTTAGAGTGGGACATGTTTCCCATCAATAGATATTCATCAGTTTTGAACTTTTGATAGGTACCAAACATTTCTACATCAATACAGATGTGAGTGGTATTACCAATATCATACTACCACACCTTAGGGTTTGCTTCAACCAGGTTAGCTTATATTACTACTGCACATAGGTCAGCTTCAGTTAGGTTGGCTTGATTGTTACCGTTAGCCTAACTGTGACACTCTGTAGAGAAAAATCCCATCTTGCCGCAGTGGATACACTTCCCAAAGAAACTTCCTCATTGGAGCATGAACTTGTTTCTTAAAGTTTGTTGAGGTTTGATAAGCTACTTTGTGTATCGCAGCCTTTTCAGGAAATCCTTGGCCTTTTACCTTTTTTAAGTACTCAGCATATCCGCATCATGAGTATGATTTGACCCGGCTTTATCATATTTTTGTGACTCATTCTGCAGCATAAAAATCAGATTCGGCAAAGCCAGAGGCTTTGTGCTTGTATGCCAGATAGCTTTTGAAGTCTTCCCAACTAAAGGATACCTTCTCAATGAAACAATTCACTATGAAGGTTTTGCACAGAGCCATGTCTTCATCTGATATCTGATGGAATATCATTTGTAGGTCGTGCATTTGATTCATGATGGATTTCAAGTCTACCATCACATAGCTAAGAAGCTTCAACGTCGTGAATTTCACTTATTAAATGTTGAAGGTCTTGTACTTATTTTACAAAGCATCCCAGAGATCTTTGGAAATTCTATAGTACTCTATGTACAAGTTGTACAGCTGGTCCCCCAGGTAGTTTAAAATGTATCTGATGTAGGAGTTTACTCTACTTCAACTCTCACATATACTCATATCATTGTAGTATGTAGGTATCAATCCATAATAGAAAGGTAAGACACCAAAAATGCAATAGATTATCTAATTCAAGCAAGCATGATTGGGAGATTGAAGCTATGAATCTAACAACTAAAAGAGACTTCAAATAAGCAAGAGCAAGTAAAATAAACAGAGAAAATAAGTCAAGTTCGAATTCAAACAATCAAAGACTAGTGGGCTTGAGATAGAGTAATTGATCTAGGGAGACTCTTGGCTTAACTAGTGATGCTTCAAATCATTCCAGACAATGTTGTTCCTAGGCATAGAATTAACAGCTATAGCTAGCTCAATTCCTTGACACTAACCACTTTGCTAAACATATATTCAAGACAAATTCCTTTACTCAAACACATGACCAGCAAGCATTACAAGCAACTAATCCAATTATATATTGCCAATCTACTCAGACAGCTAATTCCTTAGGCTAAGAAAAACAAATCTCTTACTTGACTCAATCAGGCAATTCATCAAACACTTGGCAGGCATAAGAGAACCCTAGGATCTAGATCAACTTAGCAAGGGCTAATCTAGCATTAAAAACAATCAATAAGAAGGAACAATCATATAAAACAATAAGCAATCACTAAGCTAACCTTAAATCTCCTTATCTCTATCCCATCTCAAACCCTAAGCGAACTACTCACTAAACATGGTTTTAATCACATCTCAAAGCAAGGAGGGATAATAAATCATGATAGGAGAGAAAACAAACACCAACTTTTGATTGAAAGAGCAAGATTCAACAAGAGATTACAAGAAAAACTAAGGGAAATGCAAAAGAGAAAGCTATTATCCAGAGGGTAAAAGATGATAAGATCCTCCTTATGTTTTTAGGTCGCAGCCTATATATAGTTTTCAGGAAAAGCCCTTAGTAAACCGAGAATAAACTGGAAAGCAGCTGGTTTGGGCACTTGATATCGACTTGTTACATCGATACTCTGATCGATATGGTTGGCAGGAGAGTGTATCGACCAGGTCTAGCCGATACGCACATCGATACAGTCGCCCTTTAGTTAAGGCTCATCGAGCTCCAATGTCGATACAGTAGTCGATACACTTCTTTGGCATGTGTACCGAGATAACCCTATGTAGATATGAAGAGTTTTGAAGCAGGTGTATCGATCAGAGTAGCTCGATATCCTTCTGGTGTCCTCTCTCCTTGTATCGATACTGGGACTTCGATGTGATGATTGGTATAGCTCTCCAGCATGTATCGATGCGTGACGTCGATACTCTGCTCTGTACGCTGTGTATCGATCTGCCATGTCGATATCCTGCTCGATACGAAGCTCCCTTCGCCTTGGCTTCTTCACCTTTTGATTCCCAATTCTTCCTCTGGTCCCTAAACTCCCAAAATGCACCTGCCAAGTGCTAGTAATGCACCTAATATGCAATGCAACTCCTAATTATACTCTAGATGTCAAGTGGATGCAATTTGGACATAAAAGTGTGGAAATGCATGCTTGAAGACTACAAAACAATGCAAAATTGCATGCTAATATGGTGTAAATAATGAGTATATCAGAATCCTTTGTAGAAGAAGTCCCCATGAGTCCACACATCGACAACAACGAGAATACATGGATTGAAATTGTCAGCAACAATCACTGGTTTGGTCTTTGTGATATATCACGCTATCTGCACTTTGGTCAGAAAGAAGTGCATCATTTTCTGCCACTCCTTGACATTGGTTCCATCAAACTTCTCGGATTAAAGTCCTATGGTAGGGACTAATTGAACTGTCAGTGGTTGACAATTTCCAATTAGAGTATTCGGCTCACTTGTGCTGTTAGTCCCATTCATTACAGTTTTAGAGGAACCATCGATGATAGTGTTGTTAGCACCGTCAGTACACATTCTGAATCTATTCACACAAAGAATATAGCAAAATCATATGAAGAACTAAGAATTAGATAACAATGACGAACTACTTATCTACAATGATCAATAAATTTTATCATGTTCAGATTTTTTTTTCTTAGACACATATGTTTTTTAACAAAAAACATAGAATGATCTCTTGAACTTGGGGAGATGTTTTTTGTTTCAATTTTTTTGAAAAAATAGGAAATGCTCTTAAATAATTTAAAATGAAAAAATAATGTAAAACGAGTATCTCACTGAGGAAAAATTATGAGAATGACCATTTTTACGGTTTTTATAAATAGCAGTACTATCCTTCTAACAACTTTTACTTGTAGACTAATGGCAAACGGAATGCAGACTACTGGCAAAATGATTGGTTATACAATTGAAAGTAGTCTACTGGTAGACTAATGGCAGACTAAATACAAACTAGTAACAGAATAAATGCAAATTGAAAGCATACTAGTGGATCCCTCTTATGGGTTATTTTAAAAAGATCATGTTTGGTAATAAATTGTCAAATACACCATTTTAAAAATTATTCCAAAAAAAAAAAATAACTATTCGATGCAGTTGAACCGCCATGTCTTCGATGGTTGTCCAATAAAAAGCGTGACCAAGAACAGTACATAAACCATGGTTTAGAATGTGCAGTTCAACCGAACCACACTTCATCTGCTACACCATTCAAACCATTTTATTTAGAAAACATAGTTATAAAACAATATCTCATAATGGTCTTCTGTTCACTATCTTATCCACAAGATACTAGGATGATAATTATCTGATTGTTCAAAATAAAATTCATGCAGAAAAGCAATCACACGAAAAGAAACAATAAATAAAAGACTGAATATTCTTTTTTCATATTTTTTTCAACACTTACTTATATTAATGAGAAATAGATACAAAGTCTTAATGTAAAGCATTAGTTAAAAAGTTCGGAACCTAAAGATAGAGTATAAAAGTTTCATTGTTATGCCATTTGATGCTTTGTTAAAATATATGACGGCTTGTTGAGTGTCCATGGAGTTCAGGCAAATTTTGTTTCTTCAAATCTTGCCAAAATCAATTTTCTTTGATCCAACCTGTTCAGGAGATCAGATATACCTTTGCACTCACCTTCAAATATAATTATTCTATATCTTTTTCCCCAGCAATTTTGCGTTACTATGAATAAATCTTGGAGTTCTGCTAAAAGCTCATCTATTGTTGTTCTTCCTTTTGCCTGACCCGGCCCTATGTATGTGCCTCTTTCATCCCTGATTATCCATCCAGCTGTTGAATTAGCAGAATTCTTGATATGTGATTCCCAATCCATGTCACATGCCATAAAGTTTGAGCATAAGGACATTGGAAAAACAAATTATTTGATGTTTCTTCTTCTTGACAGCATCCGGGACATAGTGTTTGAGTAGTGATATGATGTTTTTTAAGAGCTTCTCAGTAGATAATTCCCCTGATATTAGCTTCCGAAGAAAATGTTGAATTTTAAGAGCAGTTCTTTTCTTCTAAAATACATTTTTAATACTGATATTTCCTGTTGGGGTGAGGTGTCCTGGTCTTGACGAATGATGTGTCGATACCCATTAACCTGATTTCACTATGTAAGCACCTGATTTGTTATAGTGCCAGCCCAATAAGTCAGGTGTTGGCTGAGAACATAGTCGCAGGGAGAGAATTGTGTTTGCATCCTTTTCTTCCAAGAAACTACAAATTTTATCCACTTTCCATCGTTGATGAGGAGTGATCCAGTCTTTGAGTAGACAATAATGAAATATTTCGTTCTTTGGTGTTGGAGAGTGTGGAGGATTTGTAGGCAACAAAGGATCTGTCCAAGTACTAATGACGGATTCATCTCCAACTTCAAACCATAAACTTTGCTTCAATAAATCACCATGTAGTATCGACTTCCAAACAAAAAAACTTTTCTTATATTTGGTAATTGTTAGAATGTTTCCATTACTAAAATATCTACCTCGTAAAACTCTGGCTATCAAACAGTAACCTCCATGTTGGTTTCCTAAGCAGCAAGTTTGGAGTTTTCAATATCCCAAAATCAAAACCCCCTTTTTTAAAAAGAAATTTTTCAAAAGTAACCTGATTTTACTGTGTAGACACCGGTTTTGTTATAGTGTTAGCTCAATAAGTCTGGTGTTGGCTGAGAACATAGTCAGAAGGGATAAAATTGTGTTTGCATCCTTTTCTTCCATAAAACTACGAATTTTATCAACTTTCCATAGTTGATGAGGTGCGATCCATTCATTGAGTAGACAATGTTGAAATGTTTCATTCTTTGGTGTTGGAGTGTGTGGAGGATTTGTAGGCAACCAAGGATCTGTACAAGTAGTAATGACCGACCCATCTCCAACTTCAGACCATAAACCTTGCTTCAATAAATCAGGACCATGTACTATCGACTTCCAAGCAAAATAACTTTTCATACATTCAGGTATTTTTAGAATGTTTTCACTACTAAAATATCTAACTCGTAAAACTCTAGCCATCAAACAATATGGATTGTGTAGTAACCTCCATTTTGATTTTCCAAATAGAGCAAGTTTGAAACTTTCAATAACACAAAATCCTAAAACCCCTTCTTTTTTAAGCAAGCTTCCAAAAATAACCCAATTTCATTGTGTAGACACCTGATTTGTTATAGTGCCAGCCCAATAAGTCTGGTGTTGGCTGAGAACATAGTAAGAAGGGAGAGAATTTTGTTTGCAACCTTTTCTTCCATACAACTACAAATTTTCTAAACTTTCCATCGCTGATGAGGAGTGTTCCAGTCTTTGAGTAGACAATGATATTTGTTTCATTCTTCGGTGTTGCAGTGTGTGGAGTATTTTTAGGCAACCAAGGATCTGTCCAAATACTAATGACCGACCCATCTCCAACTTCAAACCATAAACCTTGCTTCAATAAATCACGACCATGTAGTATGACTTCCAAGCAAAGGAACTTTTCTTACATTCGGTAGCTGCTAGAACGTTTGCACTACTAAAATATTTACCTCGTAAAACTCTGGCCATCAAACAGTATGGATTGTGTAGTAACCTCCATGTTGGTTTCTCAAGTAGAGGAAGTTTGAAGCTTTCAATATCACCAAAATCCTAAACCCCTTCTTTTTTTGGAAATTAGTAGGAACATAAAAGAGAGGATAAATTTGAATGTTTGGAAATGTGTTTGGTAACCTATATAAAATTATTTGGGGACTATTCTGGATTAGAAAGTAAAATGTTTGACAATTAGTTTAGTGTAATAGTTTTATTTATTTAAATAGTCCATTTGGCAATTTTATTGTTAAATATGACTATTCCTAAAAAGACTCATAAGAGAGGTCCACTAGCTACATTCAGTCTGTCGTTAGTCTGCTTTTAAATTATATTTAGTCTGCTGTTAGTTTACATTTAATCTATCTTCAATTGTATAAAAAGTCAGTCTGCCAGTAGGCTGTATTTAATCTGTTATTACTCTACATGGAAATATAGCTAAAAGGGTAGTGTTAGTATTTATAAAATATTTTTTTAGAAAAGTTATTTTTACATTTTTCTCTTATTGTGTATATGTTTTGCATTATTTTCTCTTTATAGATCATTTTGGATCATTTATTCTAAATTAAATCAACATAAAAAATTAAAAATTAATGGGATGATGAGACCTAAGCAAAAATAATCTTTGATATTTCTTCTTTAATATTTGTTAGATATTAGGTTTAGCCAAACAAAAAATAAAATAAATTAAGGGAATTAAACAAAAATATTCATTAAGAGTATACATCAAACAATTTCCGTGAATATTGGATCTGACATGAAAAATTTTTACTTTGTAAATAATTGATAGCTTGCTATATTAGAGCATTTTAAGCTGCATTTCATGCATCTTTTTCTCTGTTTTTGTATTAAGGTTTAGCATTTTAGTGTCATTTGCACTTAGAATCAACATGACATGCATTTAGCTTAGGATTGCATATATTTGCATACATGTGCATGTATGTAGTGATTTTTAGGTGTTTTTGGAAGAGTTTTAGAGTTGGGGAGGAGATGGAAGCAACTCATGTTCGCATGAGATGCCAAAGAAGCAGCTTTGCAAACTTTGAATCCATATCGACGTCCAGCATCGAGCAGAACATCCGTGAAGCTTGCTCGATGTGAAGCGTGGGACGAGGAAGAAAGATTTGCCGAGGACCCCGAGACAGCACCGAGCTAGGCATGCCGTACAGGCCGATACGAATGTACATGGCATATCGAGGTGTAGCATCGAGGAGAACACCAAGAACCCACCTCGATATCGAGCTAACTGCATCGAGAAGAACACCTTCCCTTGCACCACGATGTGTCAACGCCGAGAGTTGACTAAGATTTTTCTACTTTTTGTCAAACCTTATCTTCTTAGCCTATTTAAGCTAAACCTTATCTTCTTGTTATCTTATCTTCTTCTTTACCCTATTTTCGACCTTGTGGGAAACCACAAAGAGATTTTTATGAGATTTTGATCAAGATCACACTTTTAATAAAGTTTTGCACTTCCTTTTTTATTTTTCTTCTAGTTCTTGTTTAATCATGTTTAATCTATCATCTCTGCTTATTTCTGTTGATTTCACTATGTGTTGTGAGTAGTTTCATATGGTTTGAGGTTGGAGCATATTTGGGGATGATTAGTTGATAGCTTAGAGCGTTTTGGTTTAATCCTTGCGTATTTTACCTTGCTTAGTTCTTCTTAAGGTTTGAGTAGCTTATTTAAGTGAAATAGATTATATGTGTTTGCTGCATCACAAGTGTTTGTTTAAACGCCTAAAAGAACTGTCTTTGGGGTAATTGCTTAGATGATTATATTTCGTTGATAGGGCTCAGGTTTTATCCAAATAAAACTACTGCAAGTGCAAAGAAAAGCAGTTATAGTATAAGGGGTTAACGAATCCCAAGGGAGTAAGTTAAATATACTAAAGAGTTCAAGTTCGGATTAAGCTGAGCAATAAGTAATAAATGTAATGCAAAACAGCAAAATAAAAGCAAGTGGGCGTTTTTATGATTGTTCTTAAAGTTCAGAAAGCTAAAAGCCCTAAGTCAGGACAATTTACAGGTTGAATCCGAGAATGTAGAATGCATGCAATCATTAATGAACTTGAACATGATTCGCAAAGGTATAACTAATTAATTCTCATTGCAGAAGTTATCTATGTCTAAATCACAGAGTTTCAAATCTCTTTGCAATCTCTATCAACATAAACATACAATAATGATCAGGTTCAATTGTTCACAAAACTCCTAAGTCAAATCTCTTTGCACTAAGGCATTTTGCTCATCTAATACTAGTTCAGGTGATTAATAATGTTCTCACATCATTTAAATAGCCTAGGGTTTCAAAATCCAGATGATGTGTCTAAGATATCGATGTGAATACAAGCACAAATGAAGAACCAATAGATTTTCCTAACAGCTAAAGCGATTCTACAAACTCTTCATCAACCTTGAATATTTCCTAACCTAACTAACAAACTACTCAGACATGGTGAATGAAACAACCATCATGAATAGAATAGATTGCATAAAAGAAATAAGAGATAAAGATAAAGGAGTTCGAAATCTGCTCTGAAGGAGTCTGATTTGTCTCTCCAAAAGCTCTGCTACAAATCTCTCTCTAAAGCTCTTTGAATTCTAAAAAGTACAAGATAAAAGCCAACAATGGCTGAAAACCTAATATAAACAAGCTAAAACACAAGCTGTGGTCTTCTTGTAAATAATGGAACTTCTGGGCCAAAACTGCAATTTTCTTTCCATCTTCTAATAGAAGTCGCGATCTCTCTTCAGAGGAGGGTGACGAGCGTCACCCATAAGTGGTGACGAGCGTTACTCAATACAGAACAGCGCTTCTAAGAAGCTTACTTCGTGGTTGATCCTTGCAATGATCCAAAAAGCTCCAAAACCTCTAAAACCTCCAATTATACTCCAGACATGTTATAACCTGCAAAGACTCTACTAGGACTCTAAAAAGACCAAAAAAGCTCAATGAAAAGGACTTATACCATGGTTAAAAACCATGATATATCAACTCCCCCAGACTTAGTTTTTGCTTGCCCTCAAGCAAACATCAGACAAAGAAGAGGGTCGAGGTTTGAAAACAGAAACAGTCAGCTAAACATGAGGAACACCACATTGATTAACACTTTCAAATCTACATACCACAGAGACAACACAAGATCAAATTTCAGTATAATCATCACAAGCTTAGCAAATCTCTCAAATCCAGTTCAAGCTCCTTCAAGTAATCCGAAATCTCTGTTGCTTACTCCTTAAATTTATCTAAGTGTGATATTTCATCAAGGTTTTATCATCTTGAAGATTCCTCTCCCTTCCTCAACAACTAAACAAAGCAATCTCAACACAGCTCTCCTATTTCTCTTCCTTTGATCTTTTATTTCTGAAATTTTTCGATTTTTCAACTCTTTTGTCATTTTTTACAATCTGAGATATGGTGCTACTCAATATGTGTGTTCCTTGTAAGGAGACAGGTTCTTGAGTGTTCATTACTGTTGTTCCTTGCCAGGAGACAGAGTCATGATGCACCAATCTTTTGACTTAAACTCTTAAAAGCTGTATCATGGAAGATCAAAGAGAGACTGTATCTAAACCTCTTTGTCAGTGTTGAAAGAGAGAATCAAGATCAATGAGAATCAAGCCCCAAGACAAGAAATTTAAAGTTCATTAAGGTGGAGTCAACAACAAATTTTCCAGATTCTCTAAGAACCTAAACCTTCATTGCTAGACTGATCTACCTATGACTTTCAACTTACTAAGACTTGTAATCAACTACTGTGGCAATGGTTCTTATAAGTATCAACGTTCTGTGGTTAGTTCCAAGAAAAACTGACAGTTGCAAAATTTTGACCCAATAAAACAGGTTTTTGATTCAACTTAAGACTCTAAAAATTAAATACAATGTACACAACGTCAGTAGCCGCCTCCCCCAGACTTAAACAACATTATCCCCACTAGTATGAAGCCAAGAGTTGGT